CCACTCATCTAGCCCACACTTCCTGAGCTTACCTAGGAGGATGTGATGGGAGACAGTGTCAAAAGCCTTGCTGAAGTCCAGGGAGACAACATCCACTGCTCTGCCCTCATCTCCCCAGCCAGTCATTCCGTCATAGAAGGCTATCAGGTTGGTCAAGCATGATTTCCCCTTGGTGAATCCATGCTGACTACTCCTGATCACCTTCTTGTGCTCCACAAGCTTAGTGATGGTCTCCAGGATGAGCTGTTCCATCACCCAAGCAAGGGGAGCAGGGCAGACCCAGAGACTGTGACTAGGTTCCATCAAGAAGTTCAGGTAAGTTCGTGGTGATGAGGCTGGTCCAAGGTCAAGCCGGGACGTCAGTCTACATGTCAGGGTTGGGGTCAACGTGGTCCATGGCCAAGTGCAGTGTGACCGCAAGGCGGGAAAAGGAGGGACAGACACCAACGTAGAGAGACACTCAAGGTTTGTGAGTAGTTAAACAGGATAGATTTAATAGAGGACTTTAAACTCCAAACTGCACAGGGAGCCCCGGGAACCATGTGGAGGGGTCGCTGATGGGAGGCTGCTGGACAGACTGGTTGGACGCCCAGGCGGGACTCACTTTGTGTATGCTAAGGGCCTCTTAAATCTACTAGAACTATTTTCTTATCTCGATAATGCAAAGCTTGAGTAGTTACTGGCTGCAAAGCAGCTATACATTGTTGACAAAATGGATTATGCATGTCTGGCCCTGATGGGTTTCAGTCAGTGGTCGAGAGCACACTCTAGGTCTTATCTAGCCTATATGCGGATGTTATGGGAGATAGTGTCAAAAGCCTCACTCAAGTCAGAGTAAGCAACAGCCACTGCTCTCCCCTCATCCACCAAGGTAGTCATCGCATCGTAGAAATATGTTTAAGCGTTATTTCTCCTCGTAAATCCATGCTGATTACTCCTGATCACCTTCTTGTCCTTCATGTGCCTGGAAATGATTTCCAGGATTATTTGCTCCATCGGCTTCCCAGGGATCAAGGTGAGGTTCCTTGATTCCTCCTCCTTGAAGAAAGGAGTGACATTTGCTTTCTTCCAGTCCTCAGGAACCTCCCCCTATCACCACGACCTTTCAAAGACAGTTGAGAGTAGCCTCAAAATGATATCAGCCAGATCCCTCTGCACTCATGGGTGCATCCCATCGGATCCCATTGACTTGTGTATGTCCAGTTTAAGTGATCCCTAACCTGATCCTCCTCCACCGAGGGTAAACCTTCCTTGCTCCAGATGACCCCTCTGGTCTCAGAGACCTGGAATTCCTGAAGGCCAGTCTTACCAGTAAAGACTGAGGCAAAGAAGGCATTCAGTGCCTTAGCCTTTTACGTGTCCTTTGTCAGCAGGGCCCCTGCCCCATTCAGCAGTGGGCCCACATTTTCCCTAGTCTTCCTTTTGCTGCAGATGTACTTGTAGAAGCCTTTCTCATTGCACTTCATGGCCCTCACCAGATTCAACTCTGGGTGGGCTTTGGATTTCCTAACCTCATCCCTGCATGCTCGGACAATGTCTATATTCTTCCCGGTTCACCTGTCTCTGCTTCCACTTCTTGTACCTTCCTTTTTATATTTGAGTTTAGTCAGGAGCCCCTTGTTCATCCATGCAGGCCTCCTGCTGCCTTTGCTTCATTTCCTGCTTGCTGGGAATGGACCATTCTTGAGCTTGGAGGAGGTGATCTTTGAAAATCAACCAGCTCTCTTGGGCCCCTCTTCCCTCCAGGGCCCTATCCCATGGAATTCTTCCAAGCATGTCCCTGAAGAGGCCAAAGTCTGCTCTCCTGAAGTCCAGGGTTGTGATCCTACTTATTGCCCTGCTCCCTCCTCTCAGGATCCTCAACTCCACCATTTCATGCTCACTGCAGCCAGGGCTATCCCTCACCAGTCTTTCCTCGTTTATTAGTATGAGGTCCAGTAGAGTGCCTCCCTTTGACTTCTCGATCACCTGTATCAGGAAGTTGTCATCAATTCTCTCCAGGAACCTCCTGGATTGCTTGTGCCCTGCTGTGTGGTCCCTCCAGCAGATATCAGGGTGGTTCCAGTCCCCCATGAGGACCAGGGCCTGCGAACGTGAGGCTTCTTTCAGTTGCCTGAAGAAGGCCTCAACTACTTCTGCTTCCCGATCAGGCGTTCTATAGCAGACACCCATAGCAATGTCGCCCATGTTGGTCTGCCCTCTAATCCTGACCCATGAGCTCTCATCTGGCCTCTTACCCATCCCTAAGCAGAGCTCCATGCATTCCAGCTGCTCTCTCACATAAAGGGCAACTCCCTCCTCACTTTCCTAGCCTGTCCTTCCTGAAGAGCCTGTATCCATCCATGGCATCGCTCCAGTCGTGTGGGCTATCTCACCATATCTCTGTGATCCCAATGAGATCATAGCCCTGTAACTGCACGGAGACTTCTAATTCCTCCTGTTTATTCCCCATGCTACGTGCATTAGTGTACAGGCACTTCAGAGAGGCACCCCAGCATGCTGATTTCCCAGAAAAGGCATGAGAGCTTTCCCCATAATGCTGTCCCATAGGCACTTCCTTATTTACATGCATACACAGTTTGAATGTAGTTCAAATAGTACTTGTACTTGTACTTTGGGAAATGAAATAAGATGAATGCACATGGCATAGAGGGGTCTGTCTTCATTCTTTTTGTTTTAAAGATATATCAGTATAATCAGACTCTCATAAAATTACCTGACAAGCAAAATCTGCTCCCTTTGGCTAGGGGAGATGAGTGTATGGAAGTGGGATTGCCCTTGAGACTTGCTGAAGTATAATGGTGAGAGCGAAAATTTCTGCCTCTTCCACTGTGATGCACTTGATAGTTGCTTGAGGCCCTCTGCTTTGCTTAAGGCATGAAGTCCTGCCCCATGCTGTAAGAGAATTTTTTTCTTTTTTTTTCCCTTCTTCATCCCCACACTTGCTCCTTCTTTGATGTGAAGAGTAGGGGTTCCTTGGCTCCCATCCTTTTTCTATCATCTCTTTCAGCGTCTATCCTGAAGTATCACAGTTACTGCCTTTTGACATTGAACTGTCTCAGAGTAAGAAGGCCTCTCTTCCTGATCTGTCTCTAGCCAAGAGACTTCGATTATTTCTGTAAATCCAGAATCTTCTAAAAGCATAAAAATGTATCTTTGAAGTCCAATAAAGTAGCAGATGGGGGGGCAGATGAAGAGACTTGAGTTTGCCTGTGAAGTGCTGTTTCAAATACTCCCTGCTCGTAACTATATTGTGAAGAACAAGGAGTATGAACACTGAAATAGTCAAGAGATGTTGATTCTGAGTATATAAGAGCACAAATCTCTTTGTCAGGGTTTCTTCGAAAAAGAATGGGTTACTCTCATTATAGGCTGGTGTTTGAACATCAGGGCCAAAGGCCTTGTAGAGGTGGTGGTTTGCCTATCCTGGTGATCACTAGAATTTTTCAAATCTTCAATCTCTGGGGCACCTCAGCACTTCTATTTGGCTTTTTTTCCTTCCTCTCAAAAGAGGGAAATAAAGTTTACTTTTTTACAAAAACAACCAAGTGCATTTCACCATTGCATTTTCCTGTAAAAGCATAATTGCAGTAAAAAAATGAACCATGCCAAGAACAGGCAGAAAACTCATTACCTGTGTGACTGAGGTGTGCAGAGAAGTACTGACTAAGGCTCTTGCTTGGTGAGCAAGTAACCTTGCCCTCCTGAGTTGTCCCGCCTCTGAGGTAGAGCTGTACTGCTCAGTAAACCAAATATTGCATGCCTCATCCTAACTAGGTGCCATGCAGGCAAGAGTCCTGTTTAATTGACATCTTAGATTTACTTGTCTAGGAGCTTTGGTCATGGTGACTTCTTTCTTGCATGCTCTCCAGAGTTCTAAGCCCTGGCCTGTTCTACGTGCCATGACCCCTATTGTTTCCCCAGTGATACTTATCTGGGCAGGTTTTCTTATAATAAAGTTTCCCTGAACCTCTTGTTCTCCCTGTAGGTCTACTCAGCAAGGCAGACAAAGAGCTCATAATTGTGGCCACAAGTGTTGTGAATAGATGTCTTTACTGTGTGGTTGCACGTGGTACTCTGCAATATTCTAAACAGCCAGTGTTGGCTGATCAAGACAGCAGAGTCTTGAAAGTTAACAAGTAAAAACATGGGAACAAACTAGCATATGCTGCACTTCTTTTGCATGGTCTCCTGGGAAGTGGGAGTGGTTTGCCAGTGTGCATCTGTTTCTTTGCTTAAAGCTTCAGTCCTTCAGTCTGTGGTCCCCAACATAGGCAGAGAGGGGAGCTATTAGACATAGCTAGAGCTCTAATATGGTACATCCCTTACTAGGTTTATTGGTGAATAGCCAGATTGCCCTTGCCACAAAGTATTTTACCACAGTGCTGTGTTACTGTAATGATGCAAAATGCACAGGTTGATTACTGAAGGCTCAATTCCAAGAACACATGGATTGGAGGTAGCCCTGGAGAAGGGTGTAGGACCTTGAGGGGGGGTGGTCTATGCATCCTCCTCAATTTCATAAGCAAGAAGTGGGGAAGGTCAATCAATCTACAAAGCACTTGACCTACTGTCCATGTCTGTGTCAGGGCCCTGAGTGTACTAATAGCCCTTACTAGCCCTGACCAGCCTCACCTGGAGCATTCACCCACACCCCCTGCCCATCGGCCCAGGAGTCCCATTTCAGCTCAGGCCTGGGCCTTTAGTCCCTGTCTGAGCTATGTCATAGGAGTGCTGGTCTCCAGCTCAGCCACAGCCATGCCTGTACCTGGCAATGGACCCTGTTGATTTGGACCCTGACCTGTGGACTGATTTCCTGGCTTGATCTTGGACTTGCCTTGTCATCATGGACCTGCTTATCAATTACTGAATTGTCTGACCCTAGTTACCCTTACCAGACCTGATCCTGACTCTCACTTGTGGATTGACTTCCTGGCTTGGCCTCAGAGACCTCCCTTATCACTGCAAACTTGCCTGATTATCTGGACTCTTGGCTGAACCTGGCTGCCATCTCCAGGCCTACCTTGCTCAGGTACTGTGGGACTAGGCCCTGGCTGGTGAGGCCCCTGCCCTGCTGGCTGTGTTATTGCTCCCCATTTCTTCAGGAGCAGCTGGCCCTCACTGCTCCCTCCCTGACAGTCTTTTGTTGTTCTGCCTCTGCATGTCTGTGGACAGATCAGCTACCAAAGCAAGAAGCTGCAGTGTGCTGATGGCATTGGGTCCCACCTTCAAAGCTTCTCCAGTTTGCTCAGCAGAACTGCTACAGTCCCTAAGGGGAGGAGGGGAGAGTTTTTTATTACTTAAAACAACACAAACAAACAAAAAACACACCACCCACATACACAATTCTTTCTCATGGTAGTCAGGATACCTGGCCCAGCTGCAATGGGAAAAGGCCTGTATGCTGTCACCTCTCTGCTTCATGCAACAAAGATGATAAGCCACCTAGACTGTTTACTGGCTCTATCTACACTTCCTCTAACTCTCTGGGTTGTGTCTTCTTGCAGGTCATTGTGAACTGGAAACTGGCTGACCTGAGTGATTGGCACCTGCAGGAGTTTGCTCTTGTGGTTTGTTGAGCTTATAACATAAGTGCATTTCCAGAAGCTGGAGGCACATGGTTTTGACCACGAAGATGCCTGGGACACAGGAATTTTCCTTCTCACAAGCAAAAAGTGAATTTCTTGACTGTGTTGAAATGCCATACAAAGCCACGCTTATGACATGTGATTGCTTTATCTTGTATATGTTGGAACAAAATGTAATGTTATGATCCTTGACTCCACTTGTAAGGATAACAGCTAGAAATATAACTTCTTTTCAAAGCAATTGGGCCTTATGCAATGTGTGTACACACATGTGAGAACTGGGGGGGATGGGGAATTGGTCCAGCTATTGCTGGTGGAAATGTGATGAAGAAACTGGGAGCTCAGTTGATGTAGAAGCTACCTGTGTAGTCTTTGGATCAGGCCTTTGGGAAGGCTAGTTCATTGAACCCAGTTCCTGTTACCAAGCCAGGGAGCACTGTGCACAGCAGAGAGGGGAGCCTTCCCTGCTAAGCTGTAGAATGATAGTGGATGCAGGGCTTCCCTGTGCCTCATTCCTGGTGGGTTTCTATAAACAGCTTGCTCATTGCATTCTGTGCATCTGTTCTGCTCTCTTTTCTTTGTAAGCAGCAGTAGGGGCAGTGTAGTTTGGCCTGGGCACCTGCAGGGCATGTTCTCCTTCTCCAGGAGGCTTCAGAGCAGGCTCTACTATTGCAACTCCTGCTTTAGGCATAGAAGGGACTTTCAGGAGGTGGAGGAAGCCAGGATCCAGCTGGAGCACATAAATCACAGCTTCACTCAACGGGCCATATCTCTTTGCAGGGTAATATTTGGGGAGTATAGGAGGAGGTGTCACGTGATTGGGGGAGGGTGTGTGTCCGGAGAGGCGGGTCATGT